GCCCGGCATTACCGTCTGCCACGTCATCATGACAAGGACCCCCGTGCCTCTGAGGGCACCGCTGCCCGCACCCAACGCGCCCACAGGAATGCGCCTAAAGCCTGCCACCCCAGTCTGAGGCCCTCATCGCAGACACTTAACACCGGTTCACACGTGTAGCCCTAAGGGTTTTAGTGTGCTTAAGCACCTCCACAACCAAGAGCAGCTCCTCACCCCTGAGGCCCCCCCAGGCTCCCTGTCCTGGTCACATCTTCCCCACCCCTGGCCCCCACCCCTAACCCTGGCCCAGCCTGTGTCCAAGACGGTGGTTTTGTGTTCTGGGGATATCATGTCAGTGGCGTCACACAGTCTTCCTGCCGCCTTTTAAAATTGATTCTAGAGGAAGAGATGCGGGGGTGGGGGTGGGGGTGGGGTGGGGTGGGCGGGCAGGGAGAACATGGATTGGTTATTTCTGCAATCACTGGTTGCTTCATGTATGTGCCTCAGCGGTTGAGCGAACTATGGCGGTCAGGGTTCGATTCCTGGTCGGCACAGGCCCGGGTTGTGGGCTCGATCCCCAGCAGAGGACGTGCAGGAGGCAGCCGATCCATGACTCGCTCTCATCACTGATGTTTCTCTCCCCCCCCTTCCTCTCTGACATCAATAAAAATATATTTTAAAAAACCAAAGCAAACAAAACCCCTGTCATCTTGGTGTATCTGGGTGATGCTCTAACCCACGGAGCGGCCGGGCCATGGCCCACACAGGCGGCCGCGAGGCCGGCTTCTCCCCTCGGCACAGCGCCGCGAGGTCCGCGCGGGGCTGCGTGTGCCCGGCGGCTCCTGCCCTGCTGGGTCCCCGTCCGCGGCCCGGGTGGACCCCGTCGAACCCTCGGCCACGGAAGGACACGGCTGCATTCTGACGTGGAGGAGGCGGCCCTGAACGTGTACAGGGTTTTGTGAACACGTTTTGTCTCTGGGGAGGGGGCAGGCGTGGCCACCCAGCACTGGCTCCTCAGGACTCTCCCGCATGCACGTGGCTCGAAGGTGAGGAGGCTGCCCAGGACCATCCTCCACCTCCCGCGCCCGGGCCTGAGCTCCAGCGACCGATTAGAGGTGCTGGGAGGCGAGTTCTCGGGGGACAGGACTGGGGAGCTGCACAGGTCCCGCCCTCGGCACCTGCCTCGCAGCCCGCACAGCACCAGGCAGCCTGCGCACGGAGGGATCCGACCTGGGTGCCTCATGGCGACAATTAACAGCAGCTTCCCAGGCGGGTCTGAGCACGGGGCCTGCCCAGGGCGTCAGGGCTGCAGGAGATGGCGCACCTGTGGGTGCAGGCTGAGCCCCGACCCTGGTCACACGCTGAGCCCCGACCCTGGTCACACGCTGAGCCCCGACCCTGGTCACACGCTGAGCCCCGACCCTGGTCACACGCTGAGCCCCGACCCTGGTCACACTCTGAGCCCTGACCCTGGTCACACCCTGAGCCCCGACCCTGGTCACACGCTGAGCCCTGACCCTGGTCACACGCTGAGCCCCGACCCTGGTCACACGCTGAGCCCCGACCCTGGTCACACGCTGAGCCCCGACCCTGGTCACACGCTGAGCCCCGACCCTGGTCACACTCTGAGCCCTGACCCTGGTCACACTCTGAGCCCTGACCCTGGTCACACGCTGAGCCCTGATCCTGGTCACACTCTGAGCCCTGATCCTGGTCACACTCTGAGCCCTGACCCTGGTCACACTCTGAGCCCCGACCCTGGTCACACGCTGAGCCCTGACCCTGGTCACACTCTGAGCCCTGACCCTGGTCACACTCTGAGCCCTGACCCTGGTCACACGCTGAGCCCTGACCCTGGTCACACCATGAGCCCTGACCCCATCACACTCTGAGCCCTGACCCTGGTCACACACTGGGCCCTGACCCTGGTCACACGCTGAGCCCTGACCCTGGTCACACTCTGAGCCCTGACCCTGGTCACACTCTGAGCCCTGACCCTGGTCACACGCTGAGCCCTGACCCTGGTCACACCATGAGCCCTGACCCCATCACACTCTGAGCCCTGACCCTGGTCACACACTGGGCCCTGACCCTGGTCACACGCTGAGCCCTGACCCTGGTCACACGCTGAGCCCTGACCCTGGTCACACCCTGAGGCCTGACCCTGGTCACACCCTGAGGCCTGACCCTGGTCACACGCTGATCCCTGTCCCTGTTCACACGCTGAGCCCTGACCCTGGTCACACGCTGAGCACTGACCCTGGTCACACGCTGAGCCCTGACCCTGGTCACACCCTGAGGCCTGACCCTGGTCACATGCTGAGCCCTGACCCTGGTCACACGCTGAGCCCTGACCCTGGTCACACCCTGAGGCCTGACCCTGGTCACACGCTGAGCCCTGACCCTGGTCACACGCTGAGCCCTGACCCTGGTCACACCCTGAGGCCTGACCCTGGTCACACCCTGAGCCCTGACCCTGGTCACACCATGAGCCCTGACCCCATCACACTCTGAGCCCTGACCCTGGTCACACGCTGAGCCCTGACCCTGGTCACACCCTGAGCCCTGACCCTGGTCACTCTCTGAGCCCTGACCCTGATCACTCTCTGAGTTCTGACCCTGGTCACACCCTGAGCCCTGACCCTGGCCACCCTGAGCCCTGACCTCACGCACAGCCCTCTGGCACAGGGTTGGCTGCGGGGAGGCCTGGGGAGGCGACGCAGGGGCAGTGGGGACCCTGCTCCTGTCTCCAGCGGAGAGCAGAGCCCACACTGAATCGCTCGCAGTGACTCACGCGGCTCCTCCTCACTTTATTTTTATCCCCATCAAGCCCCGTAAATACAGCGACGATCACCAAACAGTCAGTACGCCCGGTGCCTCCCCCGGCGCTGGCCACGGTCACCGGGAGAGGCTGTGAGCAGCACACCCACACGGCCAGGGGCCCAGGCCAGAGGGGCAGCGCCCCTGGGGGGGGGGCAGATCCCCACCCAGACCCCACGCCCACATGGGGACAGACCCAGACCCCTCCCCCTTTCTTCTCGGTGAGGGTGCAAATCACAGTGTGTTTCCTTCACTGGCGCCTCTGGACTTGTTCTCCGGCTGAGAAATGCTGGGAGCCGGGCGGAGGCTGCGTGTGGTCTCCCCACCCCGAGCCCGGGTCCAGATCACCTGTGGGTGGGGGGTGGGTGACAGGAGATAATGGCTCCCTGGCGGCCAGTGGTGTGGGGTGGGGCGGTGCCTTCGTGCTTCTTTCACTGCGGAGGAACCGAGGCCCTCAGGGTCACACAGCGAGGAGGAGGAAGAGCCGGCGCCGACCTGGACAGATGCCCCTTCTCCACCCGGGAAGAACGTCCTGCGCCTCCAGGCCTGCGCGTCGCCGACGTCGGAGGACAAGGCTGTTGAATGAACAAGTGATGGTGAACAGGAGGAGGTCAGAGGTGGCCTGGAGGGGAGGGGGACACCGTGCCTGGCAGCAGGTCTGGGTGGCCGTGTGGGATGGACAGACGCTGCTCCTTGGGGATGGAGGACGAGCCGCCTGCCATTTCCCAGGACGGTGGCAGACTCCTTCACTGGGATGCGACGAGCGAGGACAGCAACACGCGCTCCTGTCCTCCGTAGGGCCTGGTCTTGAGTGGCTGGGGGCCAGACCCCAGGGTGTGCGCAGCCTGTGCCAGCCCCTTCCAGCACGCACCCCCTCCTGACACACCCCTGCGCGGCGATGAGCCCGGGGCCACCCTCCCGCACAGCCCTTACCAGGCGTGGCAGGCGGCCTGTCAGCTCCTCCGCGAAGCTCTGGAGAGCAGCCCCGAACACGGCCTCGCTGGTCAACATCACCCAGCAACACGGGCCAGGCTACCTGGGGAACCTGTGAAAAGTCAGCCCGACTCAGTCCTCACTGCTCCTGCGGCCACTGTGTGCCAGGCACCCCACTGACCCCGGGGGGGGGGGGACAAACACACAGGCTGCCCCTGGGAGCCCATGGCCGGTGGGCAGCACCCACACCTGCAGGGGCGATGCCGGGATGTGCCCAGCACCCTACTCCCGGGGCGGGAGGAAGCAGGGCCTCGTTTCCCGTCCCGTGAGTCTGCGGGGCACGGGTCCAGGGCGCCCAAGGCTGCCGGCTCAGCCCTGGGGACACGGATCCCGCGTCTATGTCCCGCGTCTGCCCGGCCGAGGAGCGGGTCTGCCGCGGGAGCTCAGCAGGCCCTGCCGAAGGGAGGGCGGCCAGCGGGGGCAGGAGGCCGCCATGACCTGGGTGACCTGGGTGGGGAGGTCAGAATGACCGGCAAGGACAGTGGTTCTCAACCTGTGGGTCGCGACCCCTTTGGCGGTCGAAGGACCCTTTCACAGGGGTCGCCTAAGACCATCCTGCAGATCAGATATTTACATGACGATTCATGACAGTAGCCCCATTACAGTGATGAAGTAGCAACGGAAATAATTTTATGGTTGGGTCACAACTGTATTTAAAGGGCCAGAAGGTTGAGAACCACTGGGCAAGGGGGACCTGGGCGGGCAGCGCCTCTCCTGCCCCACGTGTGGCTCTCGGCTCACCTGGGGGCTCGGAATTGAGCACACGGGGTGCGAGTCCTGAGCCCGAGCACACAGGCCCCGGCCCTCCCTTCGCGGCCACCAGAAGGGCGGGGGGCACAGTCTAGGGCGCGGGGGGGGGGGGGGGGGGTAGAGGGAGGGCCCTGGCCTGGAGGCCCCCAGGCAGAGCGGGGAGGGGCCGCCTCTGAAGGTCCTCGGAGGCCTGGCTCATGCCAACTTCACCTTCAAGGGCACCTCCTCCCTGATGGGGAGACTGAGGCGGGGCCGTGACCGTAACCCGCCGCCTCCCAGGGTCGGGAGGGGCTGGGGCGCTAGGGGCAGAGGGCTCCGAGGCCCAGCCAGCCGCCTTCCCAGGCGACTTCCGGCTGCAGGCGCGGGGCACCCTGGGACTTGTAGTCCCTGGTGCACTATGCCCCGGCGCGTCCGCAGCTCGGACGGCCATTGGCTGACGCCGGAACGGGAGGGGCGCGGCCTCTCGGCGTGGGGCCTCACGGGAGGGGCCGTCGTGTGAGGTTTGGGTGCCGGCCCCGCCCCCCGCGCCGCTCTTCCCGCCCGGAACGCCCGGTGCGCGCCCGCGTGCTGCCCTGGCCCAGGTGAGGCGGCGCGCGGGGTGGGCGGGCCGGCCGGGCGGGCGCGCAGTCCGAGGCCGGGGCTGAGGGACAGGCGGCGAGGCGGAGGGGCAGGCGGAGGGGCAGGCGGCGGGGCGGGGCCCCAGTCGAGGGCGCGTGCGTCGGGCTGCCCCCCGGCAACGGGGTTCGAGTGCTCGGGGTGTCGGGGCGCTGGGCGCGCGCTTTCCCCGAGGCCGCGGAGCCAGCCTGGGAGGGAAGCCGGGCCCTGTGCGCTCCCCTCCGCGCCGCCCGGCCCTTCCTCCGTTGGGCTCACCCGGTGCTTCCAGGTGCTGGGCGGGGGCCGGGGCCTGGCGCCGCGGAGCTCCAGGCGACTCCGACCCGCGCCTCCGCCCGGGGGCCTGCAGGGCCTCCCACGTCACCCCGTGCCGCTGCCCCGGGACTCGGCGCCGTCCAGTGTGGTGGCCACTGGCCTGGCGGGGCGCGGCTGCAGCCATCCCAGCCCCCCCTGCGCCTGCCCTCCTGTCGGGGCGGAAGTGGACCCTCGGGGACTCTGAGAAGGAACGCGCGGAGCATCGCTGCTGCCCCGCTAACCCTGGTTGTCTGTTCTGGTTAAAGAAAGGACGCGCTTGCCTGGCTGGGAGTTGTGCGCCCCGACCTGGGAGCCGGCCTCGGAGCCCGCGTCCATCCTCATTCAAGAACTGCCTACCGTCGGGGAAAGCTTACCCACTGGCCGCCCCTCCCGCCCCTGCCCCAGCCCCTGGCCTGCTCCCCACGCCTGTCATTCCTGCCCCCTGTCATCTTCTCCGTCCACCCCTTAGGGTGCAGAGCAGGTGTCTGTGCACGGCCTGCTGCGCGGCAGGACTGGACTCAGTGCCGTCGGCCTCTGCTCCGTTGGCTGCGGCAGCGACAGGCAGCCGGCCCTGGTTGTCCCTTACACTTCCTCACCGGCCGCTCCCATCCAGCCTCTCCCTGCTGTGTCCTGCCGCAGGGCGTCTCCTGTCCACTCCGGTGTCTCATGTCCTGTCCCTGCCGCCCGGTGCTCGTGTTCTGCTTTATCTTCAGTCCCTGGGAAGCAGGATTGGGGGTGGTTCTGCACCCCAAGCGTGGACAAAGTATTAGGGTGAAGGATACAGGTGAAGTTTGTTGGTATTGGAGTGTTTCGGCCTTTTAAAGAAATACATTTTTATTGATTTCAGAGAGAAAGAGAGAGGGAGAGACAGATGTCAATGATGAGAGAGAATCCTTGGTCGGCTGGCTGCCTCCTGCACACCAGGAGTCGGACCATGACCTTCTGCTTCATAGGCTGACACTCAACCAGAGCCATGCCGGCCGGGCTGTTGCAGCCCATTTTAACTGCTTTCACGTGGGCAGCCTCGCAGTTGTAAGTCGTTGGTAGGAATCTGGCGCAGCAAATGCCTGCCAAGGCCCGTGTAGGTCAGGAGCCAAGTCGTGATTGCAAAGGGCTGTGGGAGATTGGCAAACCCCAGAAGGCTTCCCGGAGGAAGTGCAGTCTTAGTCGGACCACCAACTCTCTCCCTCTGTTGGCCTGGACGCCCTGTGTCCAGGCAACTCACCTGGGCGCTTGCTGCTCTGCAGGCCCTGTGGGTGCCTAGGCACAGGAATGCGTGGGTTTGGGGTGGGCAGGTGTCCACCCCAGCGGGGGTCTGGCTCCTGCCACATCTTCCCTGGTTTGCTTCATGGCCCCAGCAGAGCAGAAGTCCTGTTTCCTGCACACCCCATGTGTTTGGTTTTTAAAAAAAATATTTTTAGGGATTTCAGAGAGGAAGGGGGAGGGAGAGAGAAACATCAATGATGAGAGAGAGTCACTGATCGGCTGGCTGCCTCCTGCACGTCCCCACACAGGATGGAGCCCACAACCGGAGCGTGTGCCCTGACCAGAAATCAAACTGTGACCGCCTGGTTCATAGGTCGACGTTCAACCACTGAACCCCGCTGGCCAGGCACATCCCAAGTGTTTCCTCACCGGTCTGAGGGTCCATGCCAGGCCCTCTGCTGGGCGTGACCTTGGACTCCCTTCCTGTCCCCTGCCCCCGGGGTGGGCTCACCCACATTGATGCCCACGACCCGCCCATCCTCCAGCTCTGCTCTCTCTCTCCCGTGGGTCTTCCTCACCACCTCCGTTCACGGGCCCAGCAGACGCCCAGGCAGCGCTGGGGGAACCAGACGACTCCCAGAGGGCTGCCCTCGGAGCGTCAGCGAGGCCGTCACCGCTGACGGCGCACGAAGCCGACGTTCAAGAACATAGTGAATTACAGCCGACAGCCTCCCAGGGAAACCGCAGGGTAGCAGACACACAGCCAGCCCAGCCCTGCAGCCCCCACAGGCCTGCGCACAGGAGGGAACATAAGCCAGCCCAAGCCCTGGCCGCCCGGCCAGGTGCCCAACACCAGCCAGAGCAGCCAGTGCCAGCCACCTGGGAGGCAATCCACATGCCGGGGGTGGGGTGGGTGGGTGGCCTTGTTTTGTGCCTCTGATTTCCCCGGAGAGAAGGGTGGCCCATCCCTGACTGCGTTAGCGCCCTGGCATGGGACAGTGAGCCCCCTGCCCCCCAGGCAGCATTGCAGCATCTTAGCCGTAGGGTCCTGACCGATGTCCCTCATCAGCTCGTCCCTGATCCCCGACCTGCCTGATCCTGCAGCCACGAGGGAGAGGGGTGATGTCATCGCCATTGCAGACATGGCCATTGTGGCTCAGGGCCTTTTGGGGACTTTGCTCGCGGGGTACGGGAGGCTGAGCGACCCTTCGGCTCCCATGTGCTCTGCCCAGGTGGAAGGGCGTGGCCTGCTCTTGAGGTGGGTAGCAGGAGGCGGGAGAACTGACCTGGTGTCTGCCAGGCCTTGCTAGGTCCGTGTCGGCAGGTCAGGGCTCAGTGGCTTAACAGTCACGGGCCCATGGGGACCTGGCAAGATTTGACCCAGCGCTCCGGCCCGGCACCCGCTCTGCTCCCGGGAGGCCCGCTGGGAGGAGCTTGCAGAGGGGCAGGTGCCTGGGAGCCAGGACGTCGGTCACTGCTTGTAAAGACGATTCCCGGCCTCCCCTCCGGCCGACGCCTCCCGGGAGCCCCGGCTGAGGGTGAGGGTCCGGCTCGGAGTGTTTCCCACGGGAGGGCGCCCTGTCCCTGGTGAGGCGGGTGGCGGTGGGTGGAAAGCTCACCTCGGCTGTGGCGGGCTCTCTCTGACCCTGACCCTGACCCGTGGGGCCGTGTCCGGTCACCGAGTCAAGCAGTTGGATTTGGGGCCGGGTGCCATGCTCAGGCATTCGTCTGTCCACATCTGTCTGTCCTGTCTGCCAAGCCAGACCCTGGGTGTGGTCTGGGGTGCGGGCTGAGCCTACACTGACTGGGAAGCTGGACACGGGGGTGCGGGTGGTGGGAAGCAGGCGGGGTGTCATCTGGGGCAGAAGGGCGTCAGGTTTCCTTGGGGCACTGGCACTGGCAGAGGCGCACCCCTGCCTGGCCCCGCCCCTTTGGCTGCCCTCCACCTCCACGGGGTCCATACCCTCCAGCCAAGTCTTGGGCAGGGACGGCTTTTTAAAACCCCAGCCCAGATCCATCTCCCACGTCCTCCAGCCAGCGGCCTCTTCCCGGGCGTGGCTGCCCGGAGCCCGGTGGCCGGGAGCAGCGCCAATGAGCTGGCTCATCCCTCGGGCCTCCTGCTGCCAGTGCCCAGCATGAACCTGAGGGCGGGGAGGAGGGTCTCCTGCCACCTGGTCTGCCGTCCGGAAAGCCTTCAGTTGCCGGATGGACGCTCTGTCCCTGTCGCTCACCCTTCCCACTGCTCTCCTTGCCCAGGGGCAGCTCTGTGCTCACTCCCCGCTGTGCCTAGGTCGCCGCCTCTCTCCCTGGGCTGACCTGCGGGGCCTGTGTCCCGGCTGCCCCAGCTGTCCTGGGCGCCAGCTCTCTGCCCCGACCTAGCTCCCTGCCTGCCCGTCCTGCTGGCATGAGTCCTGCAGGTGTCGGCACCGGGAGGGCCACAGCCTCACGTGGCGGGCCCCTCGCGGCGTTGTCATTGGCTGAGTCGGGCTCCCGTGTCCTCTGCCTGGGCCACCTGTGTCTGTCCCTGTGGCCTGGAGCAGGAAGAGCACAGCGGGGCTCGAGCTTGCGGTTGGAAAGGACTGTTGCTCAGCCAGCAGCACCGTTTGCTGGGCCTTCGAGGGGCTGGGGCCACCTCCACACCCACGTGCCCGTGGGGGGCGCCACTGCCCGCACGGTGGGTGGGCCCCGAGCAGGTGCTCCAAGCGGAAGGGTGGCCGTGGCTGGGCGAGGCTGGTGACTGGCCCTGGACTCCACTGTGGGAAGAGGGGCTCCGGGGCCTGCAGCTCACTCTTCAGGCTCCAGGCTGGAGAGCTGGCTGGGCAGGCGTTGCGCAGGTGGGGACATGTGGGGACCCTGGGGGTGTTGCCACACGGCCACTGACTAGAGCAGGGAAGGGGGTCCTTTCCTCTCAGAGCCCCACCAGCGACTGTGTTGCCCCAAGACTGCCAAGCAAGCCCAGGGCAGGGCTGGGAGCAGAGCCCCAAGGCCACCATTCCAGATCCATCACCACACACAGCCCACCGCGTGCAGGTCAGCCACGTGCAGCCCACCGCGTGCAGGTCAGCCACGTGCAGCCCACCGCGTGCGGGTCAGCCACGCGCAGCCCACCGCGTGCGGGTCAGCCACGCGCAGCCCACCGCGTGCGGGTCAGCCACGCGCAGCCCACCGCGTGCGGGTCAGCCACGCGCAGCCCACCGCGTGCGGGTCAGCCACGCGCAGCCCACCGCGTGCGGGTCAGCCACGCGCAGCCCACCGCGTGCGGGTCAGCCACGCGCAGCCCACCGCGTGCGGGTCAGCCACGCGCAGCCCACCGCGTGCGGGTCAGCCACGCGCAGCCCACCGCGTGCGGGTCAGCCACGCGCAGCCCACCGCGTGCGGGTCAGCCACGCGCAGCCCACCGCGTGCGGGTCAGCCACGCGCAGCCCACCGCGTGCGGGTCAGCCACGCGCAGCCCACCGCGTGCGGGTCA